AACATCCTAGAACTGATGGTCTGAGGTGGTTCTGCAGTTTGGAGCAGAACTTTGACAAAGGTTCTGAGAGTTCTGATCCGAGTCTGAAGATGGACCCCAGGAACGGGTCAGAACACAGAACCGGATCAGGTTCTGATCCAATCTGAATCCCTCAGTGGGTCGGCAGGAGGGAGGCGACCTGCACCGTCATGCTGCGGGCTTTTCTCAGTTCTACCTCACAGCTCTATCTAGAAACAACATTTCTATGTTCCTCAGTTTCTGGTTCCTGCAGTAGGACCCAGGGCCCGGTACCAGACTAACCTCCCGTCCCCCCTCAGGGTCCCCCGCCATGCTGCTGCAGTGTCTGTCCGTCAGAGGCGACGGGTCAGACGGCGGCGCTCTGCTGCAGCACTGCAGCCCTAACCGGACCAGAACCAGAATCATCAGACCTGCGGTCAAACTGTCTGACGAGCCCACCGACACCAGAACCAGAACCAGGAGGAGAGCCGCTCTGCGGGGCTCCAACAGCGTCAGAACCAACGGCAGACAGAACCGGCAGCGCTGCCCGTCACCAGACCTCCAGGAGGAGGAGGAGGAGGAGGAGGAGGAGGAGGAGGAGCCAGTGCAGGACGCTGCTGATCCCACCTGGACCCCTAGAGGAGGTGAGATCCGTGTCACTACCCGGTACCAGAACCTCTGATGCTCAGAACTACAGGGTTTGGTCTTTGGTTCTGTTATGACTAGGAAGGCCGGAGAACAAAGATGGCGGCTGCAGGTTAGAATCCCACAAACAGTCCAGACCGCCTCCCAGCTGCAGGCTCCGCCCACAAAAACAAGAAAATAAGCCGTTACTTCCAACTCAAAGAAACATGAAAGTATACAAAATAATAACAACAATACTACTGCGAGAATAAAATTATCTTGTAATGAGCTGCGTATGCTAATGGAGGGTCAGGAACGCGGCGTGGGCGTCCACGATGAGCACAGTCGGATAAACGCGAATCAAACCTCCATCAGAGCCAGCGGTCCTTTAAACACGGCTATGCAGAGAGAGGGCTGCTGCAGACGGGCTAACGTTAGCCCTGGCTGCTGCAGACAGACGGGCTAACGTTGGCCCTGGCTGCTGCAGACAGCCGGGCTAACGTTAGCCCTGGCTGCTGCAGACAGACGGGCTAACGTTGGCCCTGGCTGCTGCAGACAGCCGGGCTAACGTTAGCCCTGGCTG